CAGGTGTGACTATTCTGCCCCACCCCACCCTCAGAGAAAGCACAAAGCAGAAGAGATGTATTCTGCGATGAATGGCGTCTCTGCACTCAATGCACTTAAAACAACAAACACATCACACCCTAAATCAAAACCCACACAGAAACAGAAAACGGGGGATGGGTTGGACTTCAGAAACAGCGAATGAACAACACAATGAAGAGACATTACAGGCCTCCCGAGGGGAAAATTCACCTGGGATGTGAAGGTGCCACGTGACAGCCAGCCCTCCCTTAGAAGCTCCACAGTTCAAACACCTGAGTTCTGCTGCTGATATTTAGATGGCAAAGGGAAATAACGGAAGCATTTTCATAGAGTATTTCGTTGGCATTATGCCATCCCTTTGTACTCATCCGACTGGAAATGCACAGAGGAGCAACTGCCCTGTACTGAACATGTGCAGACTTTTCCTGTCATTGTTCCCTCAACCCTGGTGCATAACAGCTACTCGCACATCATACACAGTCATTAAAGATGGCATCAAGTACAAAGAGAACGTACCTGTGCTGTAGCAAATGCTGCATCGTTTTATAAAGGAAGCAGCTGAAGGGAAGGAAGCCACGCCTGTGTTCTGCCAATATCATGCATGGCTTATGAATGTACTGCTTTGAAAACAAAGCCGGATTCAAACGTTTACCGCAATAGCGGTTAGAGAATGCCACGTTCTAAAGGATATCTGTTGGTTGTGCGATGGCTAGTTTTAACTGTCAACTCAATATGATATAGAGTCACCTGTGACCTTCAGGGAGGATGATCCCCGTGAGCAGGCACACTCCCTTGCCTGAGCACTAAACTTAGAAAAAGAGAGGTTAAGCTGAGCTGTGACATGGCATCCACCGTCCCCCTTCTGCTGACTGTAGGCACAATGTGACCAGCTCCCTGCTGTGATGGACTAGAACCTATAACCTGGGCTGTGAGCCACGTAAGTCCTCTCTCCTTCAAGGTGCTGTTCTTGGGGTAGTTCGTTACAGCATCAGGGAAGAAAACTTAGACCCTGGGTCAGGTAATAAACTTTTTATGTTCTTTTCTCTGTTTGATAAAAAAGAAGATACTTTTTTATAATAGTTATATAGCAAACACTCTCCATAGCAACACTATCTCCCCAAAAGGGCAAAAACTGTTTAACAGAGAAACAAAAACTGGCTTGCTCTTTTTATGTGTAAAGCACAGATATAAATACAGCACAGAGAGAGGAAAGATTATCTGTGATGTTAAAGAGTACTTGGAGAGGGACAAAAATAAGCCTACTTAAAAGCCTTACTTAGTTAAAAGAATGAAAAGAATCACAGAATAGGAGAAAATACTTACAAAACCCTTACCTCATAAGTCTTTTATCAAAACAAGCAATTTTAAAATAGGGCAAAGACCTTAATGGGTACTTTAACAAAAAAAGACACACATGTAAATATAAAGAAAGACAAGGCTGCTCCAAGTGTCACAAGGGAAATGCAAGTCACACCACGAGGAATCCATGCCAGCAAGCAGAATGGCCCAAATCTACAGCAGTGGTAGCTCAATGCTGGTGAGGGCGTGGGGTGGGAGCCGGCCTCACTGACCACCTGTGGGGATGCCCGTGGCACAGCCACTGTGAAAGCTGGCTTTACATGTTGGCATGACAAAATATCTGACAAGGGTAGCTTAAGATAAAAAAAAAAAAAAAAAAAAGGGTTGCCTTTAATCCCAGCACTCAGGAGGCAGAGGTAGATGGACCTCTGTGAGTTCAAAGCCAGCCTGGTCTACAGAGTGAGTTCCAGGACAGCTAGAGTCACACAGAGAAATCCTGTCTCAAAAAGCCAATGAAAGGAAGAAAGGAAGAAAGGATGGAGGGAGGGAGGGAGGGAGGGAGGGAGGGAGAGAGGGAGGGAGGGAGGGAGGGAGAACTCTGGTGCACATTTCCGGGGTACAGGCCGTCGTGTCAGGAAAGCATGGCAGCAGACTGTGTGATGGTTGTACGTTACATCTGCAGTCGGAGCAGAGAGAAATCAATGTTCAAACTGCTTGCTTTCTCTCACATATGACCCTGCTAGCCCATCCCATGGGATGGCACCAACTAGATCATCCCTCACAGCCATGTCCAGAGGCTAACTTAATCTAGATAATCCCTACTTACTATGCCTAGAGGATTATCTCATGAGTAAATCTAGATCCTGTCAAACTGAAACTCAATATTTAGCCATTATATTTGGCATTTACCCAGAGGAGGTTAAAAACAAGTCCACACAAAAACCCATATACAAATAGCTATAAAATTATTACTTTAATAAGTAAATTGATTAAATTCACAACATTTGGTTTTCTTATTTTTTTTGTTTTGTTTTGCTTTTTTGTTTTGTTTTTTGTTTAAAGAACATAAAGGAAAACTGTTTGGCTAGAAACAAAACAAAACATGATAGAAACTTAACAAAGAACACAAACTACAAAGACAAGGAAAAGCTCAGCGATGGCCAGGAGCAGGAAGGACGAACAACACAAGGCCTCGCTTGAACATCAAAATCAAACTGATGAGAGCCACGTGACCAACAAAAGGTTTGAGCGCAGCGAAAATGGCCATCAAGAATGAGAATTTCAATGGGACCCTCATATACAAAATAATAATAATAATAATAAACACATAGACTAATAACTTTCATCAGAAAAAAACAGACCTAAGTGTATAAATCCTAAACTTACAAATGTTCAGGAAAACATGGGCAACAACCGGACCTCTGTGACTTTTAGAAGACTAATGACATCAAAGGCACGGTCATAAGAGAAAATACTGAGAAATCAAATTCCACCAAATTTAAAACTTTCTCTTTGAAGGACAATCTTACAAAAGGAATATGGAGAATGGTAAAAACACATGTAAAACACATTCAGACTATATAAAGCTTCAGAACTTAATAGGCTGGGAATTTAGCTCAGTCTGTAGAGCCTGGCCCAGCAAATATAAAGTCCCGGGTACAATCTCCAGCACCACGACAATAACATGAAATAAATATGGCAAGACATGAATCATGCCTGCGATCTCAGCACTCAGGAGGCCAAGGTAAGAGGATTGCTACAAGCTTAAGACAGCCAGGACTCTACAACAAGACCTTCTCTCCAAAAACAAACACACACACACACACACACACACACTCGTAAGAAAACAATTCAATAAAAAGCGAGCAAAGATCTGAACAGGCATCACCACAGGAATATTTAGTTGATAAATGAACACATGAAGATACACTCATGATCAGTGTAGGGGAGGTACAGAGTAACAGTTGGCATGCACTATATAACTATACAACTCTATACAACTCTCAGTAGTGAAGAACCCCAAAAGACATGGATGAGTCTAGTCCTCCAGCATCTCGACAAAGCAGACTGGTGCCAGAATAATGACAGAAAATAGACTGGTGGCCAGCGGGAAAACAGAGACTGCCAAGCGCTTGAGCAGTGTTGTGTGCTCCTCAGACCGATAAGAAAAGGGACAAGATTGGTGGAGAGAGTATGAGGAGGAAGGTCTACGCCTGCCTTCAGGCAATGGGATGCCAGCTCCTACGGGAAGAGGTGGCGGGTCAACAAAGGCCATGGCGCCAAAGCCTAACTATAGGATGCATTTCAGTGTGCAGCAGCTACCTAGAATTTACTTTGCTGGCGATGTTCTAGAACCTACATGTTTAACATGAAAGAACACCCCAAACCTTGCTGGTCACTCAATGAGGACTACTCGTATGGACTTGGCTTTCTCTGTCTATCAAATGCCTCCTTTGTCCAGAGTCAGACCTCAAAGCTACCCAGGCTTTTCTAGAGAACAATACTGACCTGTGGAAAATGTTGGGGTCCTGAAGGCCCAGAGACAGTTGCTCAGTCTCACATAATGGTGTATCCTGGAGTCTTCTCTTAAGTCCCAAAGGACCACAGAGCCATGCACTGTTCCCGCAAACAGCAAAAATGCTTTTAAAGGGCTAAAGCAGCAACATGTGACCTGAAAAGTAAATCACAGCAAGTTAATGCTTAAAAGAGATGGTAGCCAAATTCACAGAAATGAGTTCACCAAGTATGGTGTCTGACACAGATGAAGGTCCCCACAGGATACACTTCAGCAGAACACAGACCTGTGCGTATAAGATAAAATGGACAGTAGAATCAGAGATCCATTCTGTAGAAAAATGGTGACAAGAGTGACATCTAGTACACATCTGGGTCCATAAAATGTGCTTAAAACCCTTTCCATTCAGTGCAACTGTCCGGACCTCAAAAGCGGCAAGTCATTGTTTGACATTTTATTTATTTATGGCTTTTACTACAAACTTACTTTCAAGACTCTAAAATTGGGACCTGAAAAGGCGTTCATCACATATTTGGAAGAAACTGATGGCCTGGGTGGGTCAAGGCACATGAAGTCACAGAACTTCCCAATCAAAAGTGAAGTATAAGGGAAAGGGAAGATGGCCAGTGGGCCTGCGAGTGACAGGGTCAGAGTAGCATGGAGGCAGGAGAATCCAAGTGGGCCTGCGAGTGACAGGGTCAGAGTAGCATGGAGGCAGGAGAATCCGAGCAAGCGACAAAGACACTTACTGCAAGCAGTTTAAGAAACTGCACAAGGCATGGTGAGGCACTGTGCACTCAAGAGGCAGAGGCAGGGGGTCAGAAGTCCAGAGCCATCTTCAGCTGCACAGAGAAATCAAGGCCAGCCTGGGTTACGACATGCTTTCTGTCGGGGGGGGGGGGGGAAGAAAGAAGAAAAGAAAAACAAAGAAATCACAAGAATATTAAGACATCCAGAGTATCATAACATAAGTAGCATGATCCAAACATCCGACCCTCATGGCCGTCCTCACTGTGTTTTTATTAAGCCTATAACTATGTTCCTTTGCTAGTGTATAGGAACAAATGTGTTTTGTCACCTATGGAGAGTCAAGGGCACTAGAATCAGGACATGACTTGTGCCCTCCTTCTGCTGTGTTTACTGTCAGTGACTACCCTCCAGGAAACAAGCACAGACTCCTCCTGAGTATACCTTTGACTCACATATCAGAACCTTCTGGGGCCCTGAAGGCTGCCAAATATCCCACACACAGAGGAGGTGCCGGCTATCCAGAGATGGGGCAAATGGCTCTTCAGGTAAGTCATGAACAGAGACCACAGTCTGTCTCTGAACTCGAGAAGCATGCAAACAGGATACTTTCCTACCTGGAAAAGAGAAGAGCATTTTCACTTTAGCATTCAAAGCTGAATAAAAATGGAATCTGAAGTACTGTGGAGACAAGCTCCTACACACCCTGGTGCCTCTGTGAGGGTGATCTGCCCCCCCTGCCCCCGTGCCCCCCCTGCCCCCCTACCCCCCCTGCCCCCCCTGCCCCCCCCTCTACCACCACAGTCAGGCATGCAGTGCTAACAGTGCTAACAACTGAGGTCCAGGCTTTATGCACGCCAGAAAACACCGCACCTAAGGAGCTCGGTCCTGATCAACGCCTACAGCATAAACCTAAATTCTGTGTCCACACTGACCCTGTGGCTTCAGTAAAGGGGAATCCTTTCTCTATAGGGCAGCATGGGCCAGGACAGCCCCTTCCTCTCATCTACCAGCTCCTCACACCTTGGCACCCTGCTAGGACACTATTGTTAGGAACCTCAGTTCTCTTTAGAAACAGCCCTCAGAGCTCCATACTGGAAACTACTCTAATTCAAAGCCGGGTGTAGCATTCCAACAATGGATTCCAAGACTTCTGTGGCAGCGGTGCTTTCCCTACAGTTCTCAATAGCAGGGCTGTTGATAAAGTGAGGAAACCGTAGGGTATTAAGCCATAGTCTAGTGAGAATTTTGTAATACTAGCTAAGTAACTACACCTGCTGACCTGACACCCACTGCCATGACTAGTAGATCCTGAAGTCACAGCCCGTACCATCCAGACCTGGGATCTAAGTTGTCCTCCTCCATCCCCTCAGCGCTGCCTCCTCAAGCAGCCTGAAACCCTCCTCCAGGAAAGGGATGACACTGGTTATATGTGTGCTTCATCGCCACTCGCGAGCAAAGCTCAGCCACCACTGTACTGGATTTCTGCTGTGAGTGTGTGTGTGCAAGCATGTGCATGTGCATGTGCATGTCATGGGAGGGGCAAGCACGTGTCCAAGTCAGAAGACAACTGTATAGAATCGTTCCCTCCTCCACTTTGTGAGTCAACCGCCTTTATCCCGTGAATCGAATCATCTCACAGGCCTGGTTTCTAGGGTTAGTGAGACCAATAAGGGTTCTTTTCTCTTTTGCTACGTTTATTAATTTTGTGTGTAAGTCAGCTTCTATGTTAAGCCAATCACAGTGACACACGGTGTAAATGGCTCTTCCACATTTCCCCCTTTTTGTCTAATTAAGACAGGAGGTCTTAATTTTAACTTTAACATAGTAAAACTATATGTCACAAAACAGTTGTCAGATCTAAAGACAACATAATAACATACAGATTCCAGACTCTCTGTGTATTTACCATCTTTACGTGGCTTATTATGTTTTTATTACTCTATTCCTTTTCTAAGGACTTTGTTATTTCTAAACTATTTTTGTTTTTATGACTATCTATACCACTTCTCTTTTCTCTCCCAAGCCTATGTACATTTTTAAATATACTATAACCCGTTCACGAGGGGTATTTTTCCCATCTGGATCTGTCTTTACTGTGCATCTGTAATCATTTCCGTCTGCATGAGCAAAGCTTAAATCTGCCATGCAGCTTAGTTAGTGGCATGCTGGTAGGGCTCGCTCTGACAGTGCTCAAACTGTTGGCTCAAGCCTGCATGCAGCAGCTGGGAAACATATCTATGGCTGGCGTGAGAGACATGAGACAAGGAAGCTGTGTTTGCACCCACTCTTGTGTTTGTAATCCAGGGAGACCAATGCAGGAGGCTCAGGAGTTCAAAGCCCGCCTAACAACTGAGACACTAGAACTAACAACAACTGAGTCTCTAGAAGAATTGATTAATTAATTAATAAGTACACAAACAAACAAACAAATAAATAGAAGCCAGGTGGTGGTGGCACACGCCTTTAATCCCCTCACTCTGGAGGCAGATGGATCTCTGAGTACAAGGCCAGTCTTGTCTACAGAGTGAGTTCCAGGACAGCCAAGGATGTCACACAGAGGAACCCTGTCTCAAAAAAAAAAAAAACCAATAAATAAATAAACAAATAAAGATAAAAATTCAAATTTGGCCTTGTTTAAACTAATTTAAATACTCTGACATCATTTGTATGCTTTATCTGTTTACAATTTTCATAGCTGTGTATTCTGAGTAACTGCTTGAAAAGAATTACAAGACTTAAAACAAACACAGACATTCTCATTCTCCATTTACTAAATAATTTCACTAATTTAAATGCTGCTAGCTTTCTTCTAATTAACTCAGAAAAACCATAAATCATAAATTTAACACACACATTTAAGAATCCTCATCATTCATTTGAAATTTTGTAGCCACTGAGTCTTTCTCTGTTTAATACTCAATAAACCTGACCACATTAGAAATATGTAACATTAATGGTTATTATTTCAATGTAAATGCTTGTGTTTGCCTATAAACCAATGGCAGGAAAGAGGAAAGGCCTTTTACCCTGAAGGAACGGCAGGCTTGTGTTCAATTGGGAGGAGCTGTCACTGATGTTCAGAGCTTTGTCTTGAGCCCTGGGATTCCAGCTGGGTCCAGCAGCCAAACGGTCTTCTTCAAGCAAAACAGCAACCACCTTTGAAAGACAGGTGAGCAGGGGTTGTAGAGATGACTCGGCAGTTAAGAGCCCTCATTTGCAGGGACCTGGGTTCAATTCCCAGCACCTACATGGTAGCCCACAACCAACTGCTACTGCAGTCCAGGTATTCTTCTGACACTGCAGGGCCACAGTGCACACGCACAGTGCACACACACACAGCACAGGGCACACGCACAGTGCACACACACACAGCACAGGGCACACGCACAGTGCACACACACACAGCACAGGGCACACGCACGGGGCACAGATACACAGCACAGTGCACACACACAGGGCACACACATACAGCACAGGGCACACGCACAGTGCACACACACACAGCACAGGGCACACGCACAGGGCACAGATACACAGCACAGGGCACACGCACAGTGCACACACACAGTGCAGATACACAGCACAGGGCACACGCACAGTGCACACACACAGTTCACAGATACACAGCACAGGGCACACGCACACAGCACAGGGCACACGCACAGTGCACACACACACAGCACAGGGCACACGCACAGGGCACACACACACAGCACAGTGCACACGCACAGTGCACACACACACAGCACAGGGCACACGCACAGGGCACACACACACAGCACAGGGCACACGCACAGGGCACACACACACAGCACAGGGCACACGCACAGTGCACAGATACACAGCACAGGGCACACGCACAGGGCACACACATACAGCACAGTGCACACGCACAGGGCACACAGATACACAGCACAGGGCACACGCACAGTGCACACACACACAGCACAGGGCACACGCACACAGCACAGGGCACACACACAGTGCACACGCACAGGGCACACACACAGGGCAGACACACAGGGCACACAGTGCACAGATGTACAGGCAGGCCAAACACCCATAGACATAAAATAAAAATACACTTTTAAAAATTCAAGAAGAAAATCATCTCAAAAACAAACCATCTTTCTTAAAATGCTAAGAGCATGCTTTCTTTTCTTTAAAAACTACCTTTTGTAGATTCCATTTCTGCAAATAAATGCTTGGCTCCACCATATCAGAACATTTTTTTAAAAGTCCCTTTTTGCATAATATCAGTACACTAATATATTGTCACAGGATGCCGTTATCTCATCTTACATGTTGTTTCATTCCCTAAACACCATGTTAAATTGTCCTAGGGGAAGGGAGCCTGAATATCTGACACCCTCAAACAAAAAGGCACTAAGGAGAAACAGTCAACCATCACCCGCTGCTCCCTAAGAAGAGCCAGATGTCTGAAACTGGCCTAAACGCGCTCGTCTCTGCAACGTGAAGAGACTTAGAGATGGGCTGGCTGCGTGGAAATGAGAAGCGAGGAGCCAGGGAGACAAGGCTGGACCTGGCTCCTCCGACCCTGTCATTTCCTGTTCCCCTCTCCACCTCATTCCCCTCTTCACTGCACTGCACACAGCACTCTCTCCTTACTAGCCCCAAACACCTCCCAATCCTATGTCTAAGCCACAAATCCCTCTAACTGAGACACCAAGGCAAAGGAACTGGCAGGTAGTCGTAGCGTATCTGATGAACGGGCTTGACCAAACAAACTCTCACGGCTTAACGCCATTAGGCTGCTTATTCTGCTCCATATTTAAATTCTAAGTTTATATAAATTAGAGTTAGAGACAACACAGATTAAATATCAACTTCATGTCTTAATATATGAGTAATTACCCATGTTTGTAGTTCACACCTGTGTTAAAGAACTTCTGCGGTTGTGGAGGGTTGCACCATAACAAGTCCACAGCCAAATTACCTCAGGCTGTCTCCAGCCCACCTCACCTGCCCTTATGACCCTGAGGTCTGCTAACTCAAAGGCTAAGAGTGTCATCACAGCTTCTGAGGCCGACAGCACGGTCTTCCCCTCAGTGGGCTCAGTGTATCTGAACACTGCTTTGGTTTAGGATTTTCTTTTGCTCTGTAACTATTTAAAAAATGTCATGAAACTGTTTGCCATGAGGAAACGTGGTATTCAGGGTAACCTAAATCCATGCGCTCAGGTGAAGGTCCCTCATACTTGGTTCTAGAATAAACTTTCTTGTTCCCTTTGAGGTGAAAGTTGTATTTTTATACCAACAAAAGATCTTTCTCTTTTAGGGATTTATACTGAAACTTAAATAGAATAAAAGTTATGATCATTGGGGCTAGGTTCAGAGTAGGCAGGGGAATGATGGGAAACGGGAATGAGAAGGAAGACGGAGCTAGCTAAGGTGGCATCTGCTGCAGGACATGGAGCCTCACAACGATCCGCTTTGAACTTTTCTATAGCCCCTTCTTAAAACCTTGAGTTTATTTACATACTGTATAGATTTACACTTTCTTTGCCAGCTTAACATGCTTGACTTAAGAATCTATAATAATTTTCCTGCTTAATTGTTGGCTTTCTGTACATAACACTTTAAAGCGAAGAACTGACTGACATGCACACCTCCAAGGTCTTAGTGGCTCCATTTCCGACAATAACGAGCCCTTAGGCATTGACACAGAGGTGGGTACGGAGCACAGAACACACCTGGCATGCTGCCCGGAGAAAGCTAGACAACCGTGGCGTGTCGATCTTTGGTATGACTGTGACATCAGAGAAGTCTTTTTCTTCACTCCCTACAATAAAATATAGGTTTATTAAGTTTATAACATTGACTCCAAAATGGTTATTCTCTACAAATCACAGCATTCAAAGCAGCATCGCAAATACTGAGACCCCCTAGGAAAAATGTCAGAACACTCACTGCATTACATTGTCTGTTTGTGGTTGTTTGCAATTCCACATTGTTCTATAGTAAGTTGGTGAGCTGACTCCAATGCAGTAAAAGAAATCAGTGTGTGCAGTGCTAGTTTGAGGTTACAGGTCAAGCATGTACAGATGAGAAATCTAAAACACTTAAGAGTCTGGGGCACCTGGAATAAGCGACACCATGCCTAGAGCTTTCTTACGGTGAGGCCTACTTGAGGATATATTCCTTGCTGTATTGAGACAATTCCTTGAGAGAGAGAGGAAAAAAATCAACCAGTAATGTATAATCCATCTGGAAAGATGCACATTTCTGTGTTCTTGAAACCTCTGATCTGTACCGATGGAACACATCTTCAAATTACATTTAAAAAGTGAAAATCTATACTGATGACAACAAAGTATCCCAGTGTCAGAACAGAGTTTGTCCTACAGCCATGTGGAGGGTATTTGGAATACAGTACCATGCCCACCACATTACAAATCCAGGTCGGGTCAGACCATGGATCCAGGCCAATTTAATCATTCCCTATGATTCAACAGCTCTAATCTCATTCATTAACATGAACTAATTTGTTTTTTTCTCAAAAGAATATTGAAAGGATGCTTCCACAGTCATATAATAACAACCACATCACAAAGAAACACACAAGAAAAAGGAATTAAGTAAAAAGTAAAGCCTACTATAAGGAGAGTACACATCCAACACTCAAGAGCACCAACCACAGTTACCTCCAGATACAACAGTGCCTTCTCCTGGGTGCTGGGTCCACACTTCTCTGGTTTCTATATCTTCAGTCTGAACGTCTCTCTCAACGTTATCTTCATTGTACTGAACATATGCCTGAGAGAAAAGAGGGCTAGAATTAACATCCAGCTTCAGTTTTAGAGCAATTTGTCATTACTGAAGATAAAAGCAACAATGATTTTTCAAAAAGCCAGTAAACTTAAAAATATGTTTTTAAAGGTAAGCATTCTTGGGGTTGGGATAAGGTTGGCCTGTGGAGGACTTTCTTGGACATGGATTGATATGGGAAGGTCTTCCTAAAAGTGGGTGACACAATTCCCTGGGCTTGGGTTCTGGGCTGTATAAAAAGGGAAAACATGAGCTGAGTACAGCTACGCACACATCTATTCTACTCTTCTGACTCAGATTTACTGTGACCAGTGTGCTCAGGCAGTTCCCCCTGCTGACACCCCCTGCTGTGGTGGGTGGTAACCTGAACTTGTGAACTAAAATGAATTCTTTCTCCCCTAAGCTGCTTTCATCGGGGTATTTTATCAGAATGACCAGAAAAGAAACTGAGACACTGCCCTCTGTACCAATTGTTCATCATGCCCAACAGACTATCTTTAGACTTTGTATCCTTTGAGTTTACGAATACCAAGCTATAAAGGACACCCTTTTGACCACAGCCTTCAGAGACCATTTCTAATGTTCTACAACAGACACACGACACACACTTCCACTATACTTCCATTAGATAACATACCCTTTACTAACCTGCTTGGTGTTTTTTTTCCCGAAGTTCCTAATATACATGTCATACTCATTTACTGGTGGTAGGTCCAGGAGAGAAAAAGTGAACGAGTAGTCTAGATCAATAAGCCGGAGCAGTTTTGTACTTCTTGTCCTTTAAAACAGATAGGAAACAAAAATTAAATTGAATAATATACTCAGGGGCATGCAGGAGGGTTACTTTAGGGTCACATGGAAGCCATTAGAATAAGTGTAAGTACTCAATAACTAATTTAAATAATTAAAATAGAAGCTGAGGGTGTAACTCAGTGGCCAAATGTTTTCTTAACTTAGAGGAAGAAGACCCTTCATTAGAGCCCTAGCAGAAAAGGGGGAGGGGGGAAGAGACCTACACAAAAACAGTCACAGAGTAATGGTATGAACATATCATGACAAATAAATGTGTGATTGGCCCATTGCAGTAGACTGACTGAGGTGGGTAAAGTCACAACTCTCACATACCAGAATATACCTGACAGCAATTCAATTCTTCTCAAGATTTAGAGTGTTGGCTAGCAGGATGACATTTCTGTACCATCAGCTACTGTGACAGCCAGGTTTGCAGCCTACACTCTCCTGGAGGCTCTGCCCACAGGAAACAGCGTCTGACACCAGTGATCCCAAGTACTAGACACCCACACTTAGACAGCCGTCATTTGGTTTCCCCTTGCTGCCTCCCAGAGTCTTCTTTCCCAACCATTTGTATTGGTTTCTTTTTATCTCCCACACACCCTAATGTAGTAGCAGCTTGCTTTGCCAGTGAACTTGTGGTAGTGGCCACATCCTAGGGGCATGGGTTCGAGCCCCACACTGAGCACCAATTGAAGGAGGGCTTTAAATGAGTCCACAAGACCCAACGTAAATGATTAACAGGTATTTATTAGGGAAGCACTCACAAAAGTAATAGTAAATAACCACCGCGGTCTTCCTGCTCCTGAAGATATAGTCTCTGCCCTTCCGGTACTCTGACCACAGTCCAAGAGAGTGAGCCAGCCCCTCCTCTCCCTTATAAGGGGTCATGTCAGCACACCTTAAGTGACGCCCTTGGGACATGGCCACTACTGCAAGTTCACTGTGGAAGCAAGATGCCAGTTCACCCTAGCTATCCACTGCCAGCTCCCCCACTCGGCTGGTCCAGGGCATCCTGAGTGAGGGATGCCCCTCCAGCAGCGCCACAGCTGTCTGTTCTCCCTCCTCGCGTCCTTCCGCTCTCACGCTCAGTCCCCACAGCTGCTGCCCTGTGTAGGTGGCTCAAGACCGTCCACGTGTTTAGCTGCTATGACATCAGCTACAGAGAACCACGCCTGCTCTGCTACTACACAAGCACACACAGTCAGTGGCAGCGTGTCCACGGCTGATGTTCCACAGCTGATGTTCCACGGCTGATGTTCCACGGCTGATATTCCACGCCCTGTACTTAAGCAGACTCATTTCCTGTGCTAAGAATACAGCATGAGGGCTGCAGAGAAGGCTCAGCCGCTACTGCCTAGGCTCACAACCAAAATGTAAGATTACAACATGATCGCTGGGTTTTGTAACTAACTTTGGCGTCTGAGTTTAAAGCTGCTAATCTTTTCTCCTTCGATGGTGTCTTCACTACTCTTGACATTTAGTATCTTTCTATATAATCTCCAAAACCAGCATCCCAAAATGTATGAATTCACACACACTCTCATTGGAATTTATAATAGAACAACACTTTTTTTTTAATTTCCTGGTTCTTCATAATATGTGCTACATTTCTATGTGGAGATCTATATGCAGTCATGTTATCCAAGGCCTACTACATGATGAAATTTTAATGACTAATATACAGAAACACAACCGACTGTCATTCATATAACTTTATGTAGTATCTTTGCTAAATCCATTCGGTATTCACATTTTTTTTTACCATATTTTAGGTTTATCTGTAGATTTTTTAAAGCTCTATTGATAAAATCATGTCGCCAGTAAAATATAAATTTTGGATTTTTCCAG